GCAGCATATGAAGGGGGCGTGTCCCGACACCTGTCAATAAAAAGTGAATGGAAGTTTACGCTAGTGTGTTTGGGCTGAATGAATTAAATGGTAAATGGTAAATGGACCTGTACTTACTTAAGCCCATTCACAGGAAAAACCCAAGATATATCATATATCCTGGGTTTTTTGTCACTGTTTGGTGCTGTTGCTGCTCTAGGTTCCACCAAATTCAGAACAATAGTTCTAAGGTTTTTAATAAAGTTTCATCTTTACTGTAAAAGATATGGAGGCTTAGCCCATATATACCAGCCGTCCCTGGCTATAGCTATGTTGTCTGGATGCCTCCTAGAAGCTTTGTTTTCTGGCAAAATGGCTGGTAGCCATTGTAGTATATTAGAAAATATAGTATTGTATTACAGATGGTAAGATTTAATGATTTTGATATATTCATTATGTGCAGTATAGAAGCGCTTTGCACTCACCCAAAGAGACCATCTCTTTTAATTATGACTTTCATAATTATGTTCTTTGTCTCATCATAATGAGATCCGCATCTGAGAATTATGAGAAAGTGTCGTACGATTGTAAGAGCCTTATCTAGTAATTGTAATAAATTGCAGGTTGCTATAAGGGCTGGGTGTCGTTTAAAAAATTACCAGTACCCTTAAAATTATACCAATACCAATAGAGTACTTCACTGGACTTTTATCACGTTACTTGTATTCTCAGTTTTTATTTAAATAATCTACATTTTATGCAATTACAGGTGCGTATAACTTTAAATCGTTTTGGTGGCATCTCTGCACACTGATTTCCAGCTCCATCAAATACACCGTACTCCTTGCTGTAGCTGCGTTAGTGGCCCAGTCACACGTCGCATTAAATCAAAGAATGCTTGCGGTGATTGGCTCCATGCAAAAACATACAAATATAATTTTTTATCTACATCTGGGCACAAAAAAATTTCGAATGCAGATATCATTTCACAGGAGAGGTTATAATACTACTTGGTACTGGGTTATTTTGGGCAATAACAAAAGGTAAGGGTATCGAGTACCAATACCCAGTCCTAGTTGCTATGGCACCTGGGTCAGGTAGGAGGTCTTAGCAATACTGCTACACAGACGTTGTCACTGTGTCACCGAGTAGTGTAGTCCGTACACCTCAAAGTAGGAAACAAAAGCAAAATTAAAGGTTGCTCTATATTTTCAAATGGTAATGATTGATCCACATCAATCCACATTGTTCTATATGCATATGCAGCAACTGCCTGAGATGTAACAACATTATATTAAAACATTTTTTTCCCCACAAGTATTCGCGATATAATCATTTGAGGAGCTCTATTCTGTTATGATTTCATCCCTGCCTCTCTCCCTTTATTACTCTGCAGACTCTCGACTATGAGACCAAGAAGTCATATACCTTCAAGGTTGAGGCGTCCAATGCACAGCTGGACCCCCGTTTCCTTCATTTGGGGCCTTTCAAGGACTCAGCGACAGTCAAGGTGAATGTCCTGGACATGGATGAGCCTCCTGTCTTCACCAAGCCCTCCTACTCTATGGATGTGTACGAGGACACTCCTCCAGGGACCATCATTGGCTCTGTGACAGCTCACGACCTGGATGCCAGCAGCAGCGCTGTCAGGTAACAAGGAATTCATTAGTCTGCTGCATATAGCCACGGTCAAAGTACACAGATAACATTAACATTGTTTTAGTGAGATTTAGATTTTGTATTATTGAGTTTCCAGCCCTGGAGCCAGTTGCAACAGCTCTTTCAGACTTAGTCTAGTACTAACAGAACTGTTTACTAAGTAGAGATTTAAGCATCATTATATTAAAATAGATTGCACCACACAAAGTAGTTCTTAACGATCAGTTGGTACTAAACCAATGTGGCTGCAAATGAAGCCAACACGGTCGTAACAAAAACTGCAGTTCCTCTAATGGCCACTTCAGGTTGGCTTCAAAAGTGAGTCAACTTCCATAAGGCTCCAACTGTATTTAAGATATATAATGACTTTCCCTCTCTTTAAACGACGTCACGTGACTTTTGTTGTAAATCATCGTTTAAAGTGGACAAATGATCAGCCTACACATGAATTAGACAATGCATACAGGTAATTCTAAAAATAATAATAATAGTCCCATAACTTTGCTGTAATTAGTTGTAAGGTTCTACTGCGTCCAAGGTGAATAGCATGCAGTCATTGTGCACACAGTCATAAGACAAAAGTAAACATTTAGATTGAACCTCGAGATTTAAAGTTAGAAGTGACAAAACAATCTCACCTCAGTTCATTTTGTTGTTGCTGTGGAGATTTTGATCGAGAAGTCCATCAAGTGCTGTGAAAAAGGATAATTTGAACATTCACAACTTGGCAACTCCATTTAGTAGCTGAACTGAAGCTATTGATCATAAACTTGTTCAGCTCATGGACTTATTTTGTCAACTGTCTAGAAATGCTTTAGGTCAGCAGGATGCCTTGAGGGACAGTACTTATGTCTAGGTCACCCGCATTTTGACAGCACTCAGAGACACAAGCACTGTAATTACGTGTGGGAAATGAAAGAAAATAGACCCAAAGCCTTGAAAACACACATGTATAGCGTTGCAAAGCTAGCACTCTCCTGTGACACTGCTGTAGTGAGAGCATATTTTTCAACTTTAATTTCCAAGCATCCAGCACCCATCCAGTCACTGTAACTTGTTGTCCTCTCAGGTTGACTCATGTGTACTGCTCTTATCTCTACAGGTATTCCATGGAATGGCACACAGAGTCTGACAGCTGTTTCGATATTGACACAGTTGAAGGAACCATTTCCACGAATGAATACCTGGACAGAGAGACAGCTGTTCTGCACAATATCACTGTAGTAGCAACAAAAGTCAGTAAGTATTCCACATCAAGCACACACAGCCAAGAGCTGCTCATCCAAAAAGAAAACAGTGTCTGTGACATAGTATTATTACATTTATTAACCTCTTAAGACCCACCCTAACTTAACCACTCCTGTCTAACCCTAACTCTATCTATCTTTTTTTTTTTTCTTTTTTTTAATATTTTTTTTTTTTAATTTTTTTAATTTT